GACGACCAAAAGAACAAACAATGGTATGAGCATTTGGTTCACTTGACATTGGACCTAAGGCCAGGGCCTAAACCGAGATATCTGTGATCTATTTGGTACGATCGTGAATCAATCAAAATGAGTGTGCTCGCGTTTTAATATTTTACATCTTTTCTTTTTATATTTAGCCAGCAACTGATAGTCGTGTCGATCCGTTTTTGTAGATTCAAGGCCAGATTGATCAAGACATGACGACTTTTTCGTTCACCACGTAACCAACTAGGCAGAACTGGAGAATGTGCCTCAACATAAGAACAAAAAAATCTATAGAATGTGTTCACAGGTTGGGGGTACGTTACTTCCCGGCTGCATTGACCATCGAAGGGGGTCCCCATCCGAAGCCTTTGACTAGAAAGCCAGACATGCAAGACAAAAGGACGGAGCTCAGAGTCGGCAGTCTATTGGGGGCCGGTGTCCAGTTCATTGGATCATACACCCTTTGGACGAGGTCAAACTTCAAAGGTATCCAATACACCTTGATTCCCAATCGAGCTGGTGACTACTGCCACAACCAGGAAGGTGCGAGTATGTGCGTGTGTGGTTTGTAGGCCTCTTCTTGGTTGGTTTGGAATCCGGGTTTTTAGCCAACTCCCTTAAGTAAACAGCCAATTGTTCACCAACATGGTTATAGCCCCGGATGTTAGCTTTTGTCCTGTCACTTTGGTGGGAAAACATTTTCGCCACGGCAAGGCAGTGAGTGGGGCTTCCTCAGCAGACGCTATTTGAAACGCCTGTAGGAGAATTTTGCTAGGTGTAAGGGAATAGTGACCGTTTACAACTACAGACGCCCACCCCGACCACACTGAGGCTTTCATAGGATAACGCCAAGTGGATACTTAGTACGAAGACGAAGTCCAAAGCGCCCCTAAGCGGATTGATGAAAAATGCATTACTAAGTGTAGTACGGCGAAACTATCAACCCAGTCAGTGGGGGCCTCAAATTTTACTTATACAAAGAGTGATTTACTTTAAAACAATATCACCATCATCGTGCAGTGGAAGACAGTGAAGTGAGCTCCCCGATTGCTGCCAAACTCGCAATGCAAAGAAATCAAGTGAGAATGTGAGGTGAATAGGAATTGGGTCTATTCGAAAGGGGGAGCGAACCACCATGGTCAACATACAGAGTGCCTATTACAACTGTGCATACACATTATTTTCAAGCATTCTGGTCGTATATATACGTATTCTGTAAAGACGATCAAGCCACGTTTGTTGCGGTTACTAGCATCTAACCCACTTACAAAAACATTCAATCGTAGTATTGATTCTTCAACGAACTGGATCTGAAAGAGCCGTCTATCCAAAAGTCACCGAGTGTTGCAAACAGGGTTACTGTGACGAAAATACATTTCCTGAGTAGAAGTATATGAATGAACTGGCTAAAGATTGCCGGATACGCATGTCTAACGAGCGGCAAGAACCGCGAAACCGGTCGTGTGCTTCCAGGGAAATTCTGTCCAATCATTCACATACTATTTGTTATGATATACATATATATATATATATATATATATAATTCTGGCCGGATAAAAAAATAACAACAACACCACTGCTATTGGTTTGATGCCGTGACCTTCAGTGCGTCTAATCAACCATTTACGGAGTCCTTTGGACTTCGATCTGGAAGCCGAGAGACACGTACTCTTCCTATTAGCTCTGTACGTTTAGTTATGCTCCGTCTCCACGTTGTCTGTTGACCTCCATGTGAATTTCTCTACCTCAGGAGTGGCAACTGCAACTAAGGTGCGGTGCGATGAGCGACCGTTAAACAGGCAAAACGTGTCCCAACCAGTGAAGCCTACTGAGCTGGATTCGATGCGATAACGAGTTCTTCCTCGATGGATTCCCAAACACACGACCACTAACATTTAGATTACTGACCCACTCACTCCACCCCACATCCCACGTCGATTGTCGAAAACCTTCCAGCGGTGGATGTCTTCTGCTAACAGATTTAAGGTAGCACAACCATAAAGCAGGACTGTGTATAGCAGTGTTCATTTTTTCTTCTCTATTACGAGCTAACCAACGACACCATCGTATGAATGCAATCAATTACACTGGGATCATACTATGATATATAGCAAAAGCACCTTGAGTGGATAGTACCCAGCCTGCATCACGACAAAAGTGAGGAATTCACAAGCAAGGATGCTTTTCAAACACATCCATCTCATGACTAGACAACCCAGCCAGATCTGATGATGGCGGATGCAACTCTGTTGATAAATGCACAAATGCTCTGGAGTTGTCTTCTGAAGAAAACACGAGAGAAGTGTCCTAGTACCTACCTTTAAGAAACTTGAATCGAGATACTCCAATGGAAATACACTTGTTCAAATAAATTGGATACCAGTTTCCTACTGCCCAAGAGAACGAATGCGAACTGGCGCCAGCGTTTCTGTTCTGGAAGAAACGATAATTGCTTACTTGATTCACTAGACACACAACACCTATTTTGCTAGTGTATAGTCCGATCGGGTGAAATTCGGCACCCGATGGATTGTGGACTGAGTACCGATTTGAAGATTAGACTCAAGATAGAGACTCCTCACGTCAAACTCTCACTAAGGCTTTCCAAGCTAAAGAGTGGAAGAGCCCAATACATTTCCGGCAGAAAAAAGAAACTATACACTGACGAGGTGAGATAGGTGGTGAGCTATGGTGGAAACAGGATAGATTGCATCAAACAGAATATATATGAAAGGTTAGAGAGCAAATGTTCATTCTCCTGGTCCTCCAGGTACAGTGTTCTACTCGAGTTGTCGTCTTCGTCTGTTAGCATAGAGGAATGAACAATCCACGTATGTCAGCCTTCACTTCACCTTACCAGCGGCCCGCTTGTAAGAATTTATTAATTTAAGATCAGGACCCCCGATTATTTTGTGTTTAGTGGCTGAACTCTCTAGCAGTGCCTATTCATCAAGCTCCAATGAATACTACTTCAGACAGATGGGCATTTTCTTTTCAAGTTTTCGTACCAAAATATGGTGTCCTTTCAAGCATAATAGTGATCATTATCTAAGCAAATCAGCGAGAAACTTACAGACAGACAGTGAGTTAAGTAAACTGCTGCCACAGTTCTTTGCCATAGATCTTGAACCGTACGTTTTTCAGAATTTGTAACCAACCAAGAAACGGCAGAATAATTGTCGCAAGTGAGCTTCTCATGTGGTAAATGACGACGGCCAACAAAAGCCAAAAGTGGGGACACTATTTCACTTCTGTCGAGTGATTTATTTGCAGGAGAACGCAATTCCTGAAAAAGGTAAGAACAGAGAGAACAGATTGTGCAAGCAAATGAAAACACTTTTGGCGGAATTTGAAAAACAGACGGTACAAACTAGACGACGGGTAGACCAGCTTACCTGAACGAGGTTCTGAATAGTCGACGGCGAAGTACGAGCCACACACGTGAACGCTAAGGACGCTACCTCAGGGCCGCCAATGCAATCAGCCAAAGGTAAGGACAGTAAACAGGTTCGATACTTTTTCAGCGAGTCGGAATTCGCTCGGTCACCTCGCTTGCTGTGCAAGAACTTCCAGCCCGCATAGTCAGTCAAAGACAATCGTGGGGCTTGACCGCAATCGAACCGATGACACGGTTTGTCCTGGACGCTAGAATCATGTACACCATTCACGGATTCCGACCAAGCAGGTTTCCATGATGCTAGTTCGCATGATTCCGAGCAAAATATCGCCTGGATGGGGTTGTGAACACGAACTGAAGAGCATACACATCAAGGCAAAAGCAAACTATCGTACAACCAACAAACAAATGCGTTTGAAACATGCAACCACATACCGCCAAATATGAGAAGTATGCTGTTCCAGACGGGATGATAAACCACGAATTCGTATTGGTGTTCGTAGTTGCAATACATTTGCACTGAAGAATTTATCCGCAACAGTGTTTCTAAGGCGAAACAAATGCTACTGCAGTGGGTATCGTTGTTACTGCACACCACTACCTGAGGAAACAAGAAGATGCAAGGACATCCGCAATTTGTGCCGAGAACTACAGTGATGAACCAGATTGAGTGCCAACAGATTTCTACGATAGGGTTCGGTTCTATATACAAAAAGGCAACTTGGTCGCTTTGTCCTTAAGAAAAATGGAAGCAGACCAATTTCCAGTATTATGCAGTACAGTGTGTGAACAAACATCAATAAGAGGCAATTAGACGCAATCCGAAGAAATAAGAACTACTAGGGACGATCAAATATCGACCTTCACTAACTGTTTAGACACCCGGAAAGGATTATGAAACCGTTTTGCCCTGCAAAATCAATATTTCGATGTTGCATACTTATTTCCTAATTGTACAATTTTAATGTAAAACATCTCGAAGTAACACAGAACTTCTCTGTACCAGAGACCTCGTAATAAGTCCATGGGGTTACGATGTATGCATAACCGTTACCACGTAGCAGACCAAAGACATTACTACTACTACTACTACTACTCCTAGCGAAAACCAGTGACTGTTTATTTAGCGTGTGCTCGTGGCAATGTGACCACGAGAACACCTACTGCTTGATCACGTGCACGCATACACAAGTCCAACTGTTTGGAACAGGATTTTAATAAAAACCACTCATGTCATTTAAATCTCGCGAAACACCTGTATGACTCACGTAAGCGCAACGACGACAAGGTACCGGATTGATCGTACGACGAAAACACTGAAAGCAGTGTGATGACGCACAGGAAAGATGAAGACGACGCGCATACGGCTTGTCCATTGTGATCAACTCACCTGAAATGGAACGAAGGAAGCGTTGAAAAGAACAAAGTTAAAGATCTATGCAAACGCTATCATTTCTCTTGACTGAATATCACAGTGGTATGCGACCGCAAACGAATGTTTTTCATAATTAAACAGTTTGGTGAAACCACACAAAGAGTGTGTTAGAGGCTGAAATAACCACATGAACGGAAAGGAGTTTGGCCGAAATCTTCAGCGAATTTTATCACTCTTAAAAGAGGTTGATGAGAACGTCGGTGAAAGGTGTTCGTTTCGGTGAGAAAACAGAATCCAGTGTGTCAGGGAATATCCAAATTATACCCATTACGATATCTTTTTATCTTTTCATTTTACTTCCTTTTCTTAAATATACAAAGATACAATTTTCAGGAAGGGCGAGGCGGCCAATCAAAGGGCTGCCATTCAATACACACAATGGGGAAAGTCAGGCGGTGGTGGTGGGATTTGAACACATCCCCGGGGTGTGGTGTTACCACACAAGGTTAAGATGAACAATTGCGTTAATGATTCATTCACGAGCCTGTACCGGAAGTTCACATGGTTTCAATGGGAGTCTCTCAGTTGGTCAAGGATTATACATGTCTAACTGGGAGTGCGAATTTGAATAAGGAGAAGTAGTTTGGCGGAATCCCTGCCCTACAATAGGGTAAAATTTTCCCTTTTAAAAGATTTGTGCACAGACGTCATTCTCGGTCCAGATTTCCTCGGCCAACATTAGAATGTCATCATTCCCTCAAATGGCAATCGGCCACCTTTCTCTGTATGTACCCTAAATGCAGCAAAAGTTGAAATTCCTCATTGTTTTAAATCTAACGTCAAATCATGCACCAATCGCTACGAAATCGCGCCGCCACTCAGTTCCCGATCACAAATTTATCGAAGCTGAAGTCAAACAGTTATTGCTAAACAAGATCATAGAGCCTTCCACATCTCCTTGACGGGCACAGGTTCTTGTAACAAACAACGAGACATAAGAAACGGATGGTGATTGACTACAGCCAAACGATAAACCGTTTCACTTATTTCGATGCTTACCCTCTGCCACGAGTGGATGAACTAGTGGAAAAGGTGACCCAATATTCTGTGTTCAGTAGACTTGATCTGCAAAGTGCCTATCACCGAATTCCCATTCGAGAGGAGGAAAAACCATATACGGCATTTGAGGCTTGTGGTAAGTTGTATCAGTTCTGCCGCATTCCATTCGGGGTTACGAACGGAGTGGCCTGCTTTCAACGTACGACAGATAATATCATCCATGAAGAAAATCCACAAGGTACATTCGCGTATGTGGACAATGTCAGTGTGCGGTCGTCACCCGGAAGAGCATGATAGAAATCCCCACAACTTCATGGATGCCGCTAAGAAACAAGGTATAACGTTCAATGAACACAACAGTATAATTGGCGCTAACAAAATTCTTCTTCTCGGGTACGAAGTTTCCAAAGGTTTGATTGATCAAGCCAGACCCCAAACTATTCTCTGCCTTGAGGGAACTACCTCCCCCGAAGGACATCGCTTCGCAAAGGCGAGTGGTGGGGATACTGGCGTACTATGCGCATTGGATTCCACACTTCTCCGACAAAATTCACCCACTAGTGCATAACCACACCTTTCCCATTCAG